CTCTCTCTCTCTCTCTCTCTCTCTCTCTCTCTCTCTCATTGTACACACACACACACCGCAGGTGCGTAGCGAACCAACTTATCGATGGAAATCTCTCTCTCTCTCTCTCTCTCTCTCTCTCTCTCTCTCTCTCTCTCTCTCTCTCTCTCTCTCTCTCTCTCTCTCTCTCTCTCTCTCGCGCGCGCGCGCGCGCGCGTTCGTCGTTGTCTTCCTTGCAGGTACGCAGCACCTTCTTCCGCAGCGAAGCTATGGCGGATTTGTTCCTCACGGTGGCACTCTTCAACTATGGCGCCCTACGCCGCGCGTCTCTCTCCTGCTGCAACGGCGATGGCCCATGGGATAGCGGGTACCAGCTCCGATACCAGTGCAATCAGACTCGCTTTCATTCACACTTCATATGTATGCAAACAGGTTGTGCAGCAAACTGGCGTCAAACGCCCACTCAGAACTCAGAGATATAGTACCAAGAACGAAGCTCAGATACAACCTCACTTCAGATGGCTATGGCGCATCAGTGCCTATACAAGTCTCTGTTCGTCACTCACACAACACTGCTGTTCGCACACCGGACCACTCTGGATACCCCACACGCATCACTCTACACACTCGCACACACCCACACACGCCTACAGCTATGGCGGCTATGGCCGCTGCTACTCTATCGCTATGGCTAACTTCCTTCTCGCCCACTTCGTCCTCGGGCTCACTGCAGACCACCTCGCACAAGTCGCTATGGCAGCGCTTCCGCATGGCTTACGCAGGAAATGAATGAATGGCTGGTCACTGCCCCTCAATTTATACTTCTGTAGCTCGTTGGTCTGGTCCCTTTCCCATGCCCATGGTGCACACAGTCCTGTACGGTACTTGCTGGACTGGACTAGGACTGACTGGGACTGGGACTGCTGACTCAGTACGGGTAGACTCCACCACTTGCCCACTTGCCTCAGCCTAAACGTGAGCAACATCGAAAGGCCACACTAGGACCTTCCGGAAGGCCGTGGACTTGGCCTTTCGATACTGTAGCAGCTACGACCTTGACCCTTCAGGACTGTAGCAGCTACGACGTTGACCTTTCGGAGGAGCCACAGCTACGACTTCTAGACCTTGCTAAGACTCCTACCCGACAGACCTACAGATCGAACCCTTACCATTACACAGACCTACGACAGACAACAACAACTGTCAAAACACAGGTCACGGGTTCAACCACTCGGGGTCGACACAGATACTGTACACAGGTCAGGTGAAAACAAGGGATCGAGCCCTGGGATCTGCATTCGCTACTGTTAACAGGTGAAAACCGTTTCAGTGGGGAGCATCACCTGCTGGAAATCAGGTCCAGTACCCCCGATACAGAAGTAACTGTGGCAGAAAGCCGCAGACTTGGATTGTTCTGCACGGAGGCCATGCCTCTTCGGCCTGTGACCAGGCCACCTGAGTAAAGCTATCGACTTCTAGCATGCCTCTGGCCTTAGGGAGATGACTTTTCTGGGAGACTATTTTATTCTTCCGAATGGCTACTCTCCCTGCCCCTACCAATAACATCAAACAGAGCATTCTCTGAGGGAGGAAACATAACAGGGAAATCCTCTGGGGGTCGCATCAGGAGGCTGGGGTCTAGCTGTATCCAATCATGAAAGGTAAGAGAGAAGTCCTTCCTAATGGGTTTTTCATCCGTTTCCCCCTCTTCACTCCCCCTCCCCCCCCCCAGTGCCCCC